TCTTCACTGTCAAGCATCTATTAAAATGTATTCATCTTAGTATTTAAGCATTTGAGATAGGCTCTTTGTTACTGTATGTAATTCTGGAGCTAAATCCTAAGATCTGGGAGTCTTGCAGATCAGATTCTCCATCAATCTTCTAGCTGGTTTTATCCCCAATGTGATACACAAGCTTCTGTAGGCTACTTATTTCAGCTGTGTTTCCCTGAAACTCACTTGTCACTCTGCACCTCTAAGCTGCTCTTAGAAAAGCAGGCAGGTTACTTTTCAGAAAATCTTCTGAAAAGATAGATAATAAGATGTTTGATTTAGGTCAAAGTTAATGAGCCTTGTAACTGCCTGGGAAATGCAAGACTGGACTTTAGAGTGGTCTCACGCCAGCACCATCTCTCCCCTTTTATGCAAATGGTACTGTAGAGGGTGGGACAGTCCATGAAAGTCCACCAAAAAGCCCTTGCTGAGATGATTTTCACTGCAAAATTTGAATCTACGGGGTTCTGGGCAACATACCCTGGACACTGCAGGTTGGAGTGGACCTCTCTGTTGTCCTTTCTGTTTAGCCCAGCAAATATCAAAGTCTCCCCTGGACGAAAACAGGACATATTCTTGTTTACTAAGCCTGACTGACCTCTGGACTACCCTCCTTTTTAGCTGTTTTCTACTAGTTCTCCATGGCATCTCATCACTTGTCTTTTTGTTTAGTGGTTGTTTTTTGTTTGGTTGGTTGTTTTTTTTAAATTGGAATTAAACAACTTTAAATCGTGACTATTCAGTCAAAAAATCTTTGCCCTTTTTTGTTGTTGTTTTTAACAGTTGGGAAGCTTGGTGGTGATTATTGTGTAGAATGGAATGCATAAGAATGCAGTTTTTGTTGTAAGGCAGAAGACTGTGTTATTAATAGTAATAACAACTGCTAAAAACGTGAAGCTGCACTCCATGCTTTGTTTTGGTTTTGTAACATCAAAACAGTGATTATTCTGCAATTACAAATAACCTGTGTACACACCACCTCTTGTACTCCTGAACTTGGCAGTTAGCGAGTAAATGAAAGTCCTAGTTTTCCCAAAGGATTAAAAAGCTGAAAAGAAATCAATCTTTTATGCGCTTGTTAAATGTTCCCCCCACATTCATACATCTGTGGAGAACTTAGCTCATGAACTTTTGAGAATATGGTAGTGTTGATGTATTGGCTCGCTCAGAGCTCATAAAATTCTCCAAGAAAAAGAGGCCAAGTTTATATTTAACAAGCTTTATCAAACCATTGAAGTTAAGTGAAAAGCACACTGATAGGACTTGGAAAGCTTGCAGAAAATAACTGTGCCAAATACTTTCTCCCACGATCGCCACTCAACATATTAGTTGTTGCAGCAAAAAGCGGTGGACACGTGGATCATAGTGAGTGTCCTGCTTCTCTTACGGTAACTCTCCTTTGGGATCGAGTGCACATTCCTCCAATGAGGTCTGAGCTCTGAAGTGACTGGTTTAAAGCTCTGCAGCACGTTCTTCTAGGAGCTCATAACAGTGTTTGGAGAGGACTTCAGAGAAAAGTTTTGAAGAAAAGTTTTTTTTTTTTTTAGACCTTTAATTACAGGCAGATATATCAACTTTAATTTTGAGAATGTTTGTACATATGCACAAATGTAATTCAGATTTGTAAAATAGCGGTGCAGTAGAAATGGTATTTTAGTAAGTAAACTGAAGTAGTCTGGAAAATAAATTCCTAAGTATTTCCTGCAGTATTTTCCCTGAGCTATGGGAGACTGGGAAGGGGATTCATAGGGCAAGCGCATATCTTGAGACTGTGACCTCTGAGTATCCTACAAAATTTAGAGCAGGGCACTGGGTTTTCTTAGTGCTCTCTGCCATTGTTCGTTTAGAGCCTTATAATTGCCTGTGAGTCTGTGGTCTGAGCCTTTGGTCCCCAAGGAAAACTTAATCTGGGGAAGAACAGGAAGATACAGAGGTACAGAGCGTTAAGTTCAGTGTTAACCTAGATGAGAAGGTACCGTGGCCAACCCGTCTCTGGTGGGGGTGTGTGGGCCTGAAGGTGATGGCACTGGTGAGGTTCCTCATGGGATGGAGTCCTCCTGTAGCTCATGGAGAGGGCAGCTTGCTTCTCCGTCCGCTCCCATGGGAGCCTCTCCGTGCCGTGGCCTCTCTCCATGCGGGTGCGGCGGGGGGCGGGCGACGGACAGGCCGTGTGCCCGTCCCCACGGGCAGCCGTAGGGCCTACCCACGCTGCGCCCGGCGGCTTTCCGTCCCATTGCTGACTTCACAGGGCAGGAGGCAGAAAGCATCTGTTCTCTGTAGCGCGGTGGGATGAGAGGAGAGGCCAGGAGAGAGGTAGTCCCTGGGGGTGCCGCAGGGCTCTGTGTCTCACACGTGGGGACTGCTGTGCTCCGCGGGGAGCAGCAGCGTGGCTGTAACGTTCGGTGAAACTCCACTGCAAGGGCTCACCGAAGGCAAAGCTGCAGTCAGAAGTGATGGCGAG